GGAAGGCATGGGCTTGGTGACAGGAAAGGAACATATGATTACGTATTATTTTCACGACTAAAGTCCAGAATGAGAGCTGCATGGTGGAGTGGACAGGGGGCGGGGTGGACTGTATAATAATGAAATGGGTTTTATTTATTTATTTTTTTTAATTTTCAAAAAGAAAAGAACAACTGTGAGAGGGGTGGGCAGGAAGGAAAATGTACAACAATGAATGAAGGGAAATAAAAAAATCTCTCTAAACTTTCATTAAAATTTCAATTAAAAATTTACTGTTTGGGGCTTTGGTAACTTTTGAGTTTATTTTGGATTAAATGTAAGGGTGCTTTTCTGCATCCCTTTCAGTTGAACATGAAAATGGCTACAGAATTGAGATAACAAGGCATCACAACTAGTGTTTTGTTTCCTAAAAGATGTATTTAGTGAGGGAACAAAACAACATCTCTCCACACTCCCCAGTTCCATTATCTCTTGGACATATCTAGCTGGATTCTCCGTGGCTTCTCAAGTTCTGCATGTGAAATGATCAGCTTTCATTTAAACTAGCTTTCCATGATGTTACTGTTTCTAGCATCATCGAAACTCATGACTCCTCATACTGGACACCTTCCCTTCTCCTGTTTCAGCCTCCAATCTCTGGCCAAGTACTGCTAACAAATCAATAATGTATTCTTGCAGGCACTTGTGTTCTGTACAGTCAGTAAATGCTACTAAGAATTGCTACTGCTGATAGTTTCTAAAAACTTCCATCTAACCACTGTTCTCCCAGCATGTTAGCAATACTTTTGCTCAAATTATTTTTAGCAAATACATAGCAAAAGCAAATGCATAGAGCAATGCTCCCTATGGTGTGTTCCAAGGAACAGTACTTTCATGAGAGAGTACTTTCATGAATAAAATATTAAAGCATTTTGAAAATAGTATACACATCCCATGAGATACTACATGCATACTACATATTTTTCATTTTCTTTTAAAAAGTTTTTATTGTAATTCCAATGAAGGTTTACAAAACAAACTTGCTTTTTCCATTTCATCACTGATACACATTTTGTTTTACAACATTCACTACACGCCTACAATGAACTTATAGTTCCTGTCTGTAATTCTTATTTTCATTAATTCATCTATCTTACCCTTTCCTGTCTTCAGGACTTTATCTCTGGGCAAATTCAATTCTGCCCTTTGAACCTTATGTAGTTTGTTATTCCAAGGAGTGAACACCATACTGGTGTTACTGGTCATGTTATAGGTCTGTCTATTGTTTGAAGAAACTATACTTCATATGCTCTCAGCTTGTTGTCAGAAGGGTCAGTCTTTGGAAAGAGACCATCATGCATTGGAAAGGCAGTGGGTCAGAGAAAGAGACGAAGACCTTCAATAATATGGACTGACACAGTGAATGTAACAATAGCCTCAAACATATGAGAGACTGTGGGGATGGTGCAGGATAGGGCAGCATCCAGGTCTGTGGTTCACAGCAGGGTCTTGA